ACAGCTTTCAAATGGTATGACTCTTGGATGCCATCGATTGCTTTTTAATTTTTTGCAAGAATAATTCAACATTGAAAATTCGGAAAATTTGTTGTTAACTTTGAAAATTTGCCAAATCTGGAAAAAAAATCTTACAAATATTAGAGTTAGAGCATTTTTTAGCTTTTATCAAGCTCTATCTGAATCACTGGTCAAAAAATTATTTTCCTCAAAACCAACGCGCGTACGGGCATTTTTTCCGGAAAGTGACAGTTTTTTTAAACATTTTTTATTAATTTTTTATTAATACTAATTTTGACTAAATTTACGGCGGTGGGCCTAAAGTAGGTGTCGGGCAGTGATATCGACTTTTTGACGTGGATAGTAACAACGTACTGGTCTGTGTAGCTTATCAACGACTTAATCATGTTCCATGTCTTATTATTTGATAATTATTTTATTGATGATTCAGATTTTTTTTTATTTCCTTGCATTTCATTACACTTTATCAACTGACGATCTAATATATGATTTACTTTTGCTGACTCCTTCTCAAATTTCTGTGGTAATTGAGCAAATTTTTCATTAACATTTTGAACCTCAACCTCATTTAATTGAGATACGAAGTTTAAATTCACTGCGTCTTCAGCTTGTTGAGGGTGAACAATATTACAGATCCTTTTTCCGTGTGCATCCAAGTGACCATCTATAATGATTTTATACCCTATATCGGGAGGACCACGAGAGCCCTATTGTTTGTTCAATTTACGACCAAACACGTCAATGCTCATTCTAATACTAATAAATAGTTAGAGTTCTCTTTCATTATGTATAACCTAGTTCACGTAATTCTTCAATGGTTTAATTTTATTAATATGACTAGGATTACCAGCTGTTTGTTCAGCTATAAATAATGTTAGTCGATCAAAAAGTTCATTCGAGTCCTTCCACTAAACATAAGCAGATGGCGTTTCTTTTCTTGCGACTTTGTAGCGAGGTACAAAAGACCACTTCTACCAATAGATTTACGTTTCTTAGCACCACCGTTACTAAGAGGTAAGTTAGGATCAATGTAGTTTTTAAATTTTTGTACGTGCTTATTTCGATATTTTCTATTTGAGTCAAATCGCTTCCGATAAGCGCTAATGTTTCCGGGAATTTTCATATAATTTTCTTTAACTAATGAGCTAATTAATTTATGATTGGATTTTACAAAAAAGGAGTTCCATTAAACCAAGCGTCTTGATGTATCTTTCGTCATTCACTATCACTTTATCACCTTCGAAATAAATAGGAGAATTACGTACTTATTTTCCTTTAGACGGACACCAAATGTTTTATCTAGATTACTTTTTATATCAGGTTTTTGCAGCAGTCGAATATAGTTTTCTCAAATTGAGTCATCAAGCGGCTGCGATAAATACGTTTTGTCAAAATTTATAGTAATAGTATCTATAGATTCATCGTCAGCAAATTATCAATGTCATCGTCAGTACCAATAGCAGATTTAAATATAGTATCTAACGGTTGTAAAGTAGTATCAATCTCATTTGTAGTACAATTAAAGTATGGATTGCCTCTTAGAACTGTTTGATTTTAACTTAAATATTTTTTCAAAGGCGATTCTATTCTTGTTCGTTGACGGTTTGTTAGTCATTATAGTAGTAGCAGCAGCAATATTAGATTTCTTAGAAGCTGTCTCTAGAAGTTTTTTCAATGGATCAACAACTGCTTTAAGCGTTTCATTAAAAGTCTTTTCTATATCTGCTTTGTTAGCTTTTGTTAACTAATATTTATGTCTAATTGCATCACGAGCCTCAGTTCTAACTTTTAATGGATCAATGACATTGAGTCTCTCAGGATCATTAGCCGTCCTCGAAGCAAATTATTTTCTGCCAATTAAACTAATACTAAATAAAAACTATGTACTTGGTCTAGTAGAGTTACTGATATTTAACTCGATATTAAACATTGACGTTGGTATTATAAATTTTATATTGAAGGTGTAGAAAAAGCCATTTCATCAACTGATTGTTATGAGATAGAGGATGTAGAAAGTTTTCTCAAAGAAGTCTTAATATCGAGAGACGTTTTGCCTGAATTGCGTGCCGTCATTTCTGCTAGCTGCTGTCTCATCACCATAGATTGTCACCAAGTCATCCTTTCTTTCTTACACCTATTCTCTCTCTCTCTCTCTCTCTCTCTCTCTCGTTCGCATCTCACGGCTCGTGTGTTGTGTCAGACTTTTCCGAGCCGGCACATTCTTTTTGTAGGTTTATAATATCCGGTTTGGTATACGAAATAGCAAGGCGCTCATGTGCCAGCTATTTCGCATTAGTTTTAAGTTGACTATTTGTTAATTAGGCTAAGATGTATTTATGTTTATTTTGTCAGCACTTACATAGTGCGTTTGTAATAAAAGAAAGTGTAAGGAATTCTTTTTCCTTTATTGTGAACACCTTTCCTCATTGCCTTGCCCTTTTCTTTAAATAATTGGTAATAGTTAATATATTGTCGGCCACGGTCGGCCGACACTATACAATTTCTAAACATTGATTCAGGTCTCATCTTCGATGAGTCGATAGCTCATTATGACGTTCATACACATGAACCTTATTCTTTATCACGTCACAATAATAATGATGAAGTTCTTATCGGAATTCAACATTAAGATTTATTATTACTTCCATCTCATAGTATGATTCGTATATGTGGTCGATTAACTAAGGAAAATGGTAATGCAATAGAACACACTATGATGACTGAAAACGTCCTTTGTCATTTGTTTGAGGATATACGATACGAGATAAATGCTATTGAAATAGATAAAATTAAAAATGTTAGCTAAATGAGTCTTATGAAGAACTTGGTTATCACTCAATTCAAGTCAAAGTTTAATTACCAAAAATACTGGCTGGACTAGCAACAATGAGATGACGCTGACAAATGATTCAGGTTATTTTGACTTTACTATTCCCCTCAGTAAGTTGTTAGGATTTGCTGAAGATTATCGAAAAATCATAGTAAATGTCATGATTTCAATGCTGTCGCACGCAGTATTACGCACGGAGTACACAGCCTACAGACACCAGCGTCCATCCGGGAAACCGAAGGCTCTCTACGAGATATATATATGTATATATGATATATATACATATATAATATATATACATATATGATATATACATGTATAATATATATACATATCAAGGGTCGCGGCAGCGACCTGCGGCATGAATGCCGGAGGCGCGGTTTTACGCGACACTATACTCAATGAAGTCGGCGTGCACAGATTTCAATTAATTAATTAATACATAAATAGCGTTGCATGTAAAAAAACTTATTATATATTGTTAATATATTATACCTAGATTGGTTCTATTAAAAAATTTTAATTGTTTACTTGACATTCATTCATTTATTAATTTTTTTTTTTTTATATGGTCGAAAACTTTTTTTCTTACTTTCTTCCCAGCCATCTTTATCGGTAAAGATGATTATCTTTAAGATGACTATAATATTTTCCCTTTCTCTCTCTCTCTCTATTCTCATACGTAACCTTGATATTTGCTGAAGATTATCGAACGTACCTTTGATATTGTCATACGTATATATTTCTCTCTCTCTCTCTCTATTCTCATACGTATATATATTAGTTATTTATATATTATATAACATATATACATATATAACTTAATAAAAGTGATACCAGTGACAGTGACCAGTGATAAAAAAAGTGACAGCAAGATAAAGTGATTTAGTGGTAATAACTGATTTAGTGATTGGCAAGGTCTGCAAGGTATTTAGTGATGATTTAGTGATTGTTATTGGCAAGGTCTGCAAGGTATGTAAAATAATAAAATAAATAATCTTTTGCGAACATTGGCCAAACTCTCTTTTACGCTTCCAGCAATTTATAAAAATAGAAAACATACTATAAATATATATTTTTTAAAGCAATTACAGCTTTCTTGTCAGTCTACCTGCCCATCAAAAAGATTTTTTAAGTAGCTTTAGTAATCTGTAATAGCTTTTAAAAATATATTTGTAGTATGTTGTCTATGTTTATTCTCATAAATTGCTGGAAGCATAAAATGCCAATGGCCAATATAAATTTGATGAGATTGTTTCATAACAAAATCTTGCTTTGAGCCTTATTCCATCAAATTAACATCGGCTAAACTCTTTTTTATGCTTCCAGCAATTTATAAAAATAGAAAACATACTGTAAATATATATTTTTAAATGCAATTACAGCTTTCTTGTCAGTCTACCTGCCCATCAAAAAGATTATTTAAGTAGCTTTAGTAATCTGTAATAGCTTTTAAAAATATATTTGTAGTATGATGTCTATGTTTATTCTCATAAATTGCTGGAAGCATAAAATGCCAATGGCCAATGTAAATTTGATGAGATTGTTTCATAACAAAATCTTGCTTTGAGTCTTATTCCATCAAATTAACATCGGCTAAACTCTTTTTTATTTTTCCAGCAATTTATAAAAATAGAAAACATACTATAAATATATATTTTTAAAAGCAATTACAGTTTTCTTGTCAGTCTACCTGCCCATCAAAAAGATTTTTTAAGTAGCTTTAGTAATCTGTAATAGCTTTTAAAAATATATTTGTAGTATGTTGTCTATGTCTATTCTCATAAATTGCTGGAAGCATAAAATGCCAATGGCCAATGTAAATTTGATGAGATTGTTTCATAACAAAATCTTGCTTTGAGCCTTATTCCATCAAATTAACATCGGCTAAACTCTTTTTTATGCTTCCAGCAATTTATGAAAATAGAGAACATACTACCAATATATTTTTATATTTTTAAAAGCAATTACAGAATACTAAAGCTGTGTAAATAATTTGAGCCTTAATTTCCAAATGTGATATTCAATAATATATAATTTATTTTGAACTTACATTTCTAGTTTCTTACATTTCTAGTTTATAATTTTTTACATAGGTTTATTTATTTTCTGTTATTTTTGTAATATTTTCTTCTATTTTGTTTTTCACCAGCTGCAGCATTAGCCATGGCTACAGTGTATGCTGCAACATTTCTTATTGTAGCTGAAGATCCTTGGGCATAACGTTGCCTAAAAAATTTTCTTTTGTTTATGTCTCCACCTCGTATTCCTCTATCTGTAAAATATAATGAAAACAAATTGTAAGTATTCGTATATAACCATTGTTATTGTACATATTTAAAATATTAAAAATACTTACTATTTGTTGGATTTATTGGCAGATTATGTTTTTTTTGCCACTGCTGGTAAGTCATATAAATATTTTTTTGACCACTGTCATTTTCTTTTGTTGATCCTTCTTGTTGTTCGCTATTTGTTTGTTCCATTGTTTGTTGTTCAACTTCATTAAATTTGTTCACTGTTACTTGTTGAAGTTTTTCTTTTTCTCTGTTAAGTTTCATTTCATCAATTTGTTGTTGTTGTTGCTTGTTAATTTTTATTAAGTTTTCTATTTTTTTATGCATGTCTATAAACAAATTCCTGGATTCATCTCCAGAATTTCCTATATCCATATCTTCTAAAATCTGTAATAAATAATAATATTAGTGAATAAATATATTAAATAGTCGTTAAATATAAAATATAAATTACACAAAAATTTCCAAATCCAATTTTGAGAGCCAATCCGTTATAAAAAAATTAAAACCAAAAATGAAATTTAATTGTGATTAGCGCATTGAGATCTGATGAGGTTGGATATTAACCAACGAAACGCACGTGTGTAACCTAAGATGAGTGTTTAATTATTTTTAACGGGTTGGCTCTCAAAATTGGATTTGGAAATTTTTGTTTAACAAATGGAGAGTGCTATGAATATATAAATATATAAATATAAATTATAATTACACTTACGTTATCCATTTCCATTATAACAAAATTTTTTTTTATTTAAGCTTTTAGCTGCGTAGCTGTAACGGGCATATGGGCATGGAGGCTATATGGCTGAAGCTCATCTAGTTTGAGAACCCAATGACCTAACAACCAAAATTTTTGAAAAATTATTAAAGACATTGTTTTCGAAAGTACTTTTAATGCTCGTTTCAAAATACCACTCCCAAATTATTTAGTCCACTTATAAAAAAGATATTGAACAATTATGTTGTTGCAAAATGAGATTGAATAACTATTGAGGAAGGCTTTATTCCATATAATTGTTCATGAATATTATTTTAACGGACAAGATAATTTAGAAGTAAAAATCCTTTCGATTTTTTAATAATTTTGGTTATTAGGTGAGTGAAGCTTGGTGAAAACGCCATACAACTATTAAAGATATGGTCTTTTTCAATTTTCAGTTGAACAAATCAGCCACGAGGAGGGGCTTCTTTAGCCAAATAATTGTTTTAAAGCTGAGTGTACAATCAATTGGCTAATAATAGGAAAGTAAGTAAAATAAAGAAGAATATACCATACACAATAAATATTATTAAATAAATATTTATTATTACATTTTTTCAGATTTCATTACATTCAACTATCTGTGCTTGTTTGCGCTTGTATCCAGCGCCTGTTTGCGCTTATTACCAGCGCCTGTCTGCGCTTGTATCCAGCGCCTGTTTGCGCTTATTACCAGCGCCTGTTTGCGCTTATTACCAGCGCCTGTCTGCGCTTGTATCCAGCGCCTGTCTGCGCTTATTACCAGCGCCTGTCTGCGCTTGTATCCAGCGCCTATTTGCGCTTGTATCCAGCGCCTGTCTGCGCTTGTATCCAGCGCCTGTTTGCGCTTATTACCAGCGCCTGTTTGCGCTTATTACCAGCGCCTGTCTGCGCTTGTATCCAGCGCCTGTCTGCGCTTGTATCTAGCGCCTGTCTGCGCTTATTACCAGCGCCTGTCTGCACTTGTATCCAGCGCCTGTCTGCGCTTGTATCCAGCGCCTATTTGCGCTTATTACCAGCGCCTATATTCAAATTAGATAAATAAAAAGTAATTTGAATAAAATTATAGTAACAAATATAAAATAGTTTATTATTATATTGAATCCCTTCCATTTTATTATATAAAATTGACTTATTATTTTTAGTATGGGTGATCAAAATAAATATAATAATTTTAAGTACACATTGAGTACTTCTGATAAAAAATTAATTGTCGATGGTATAAAGTTAACCAATGTCCATATTAACATGTTCCATCACATATTACATTCTCGTAAAATGCTTCCATTAATCAAACCTAGAAGTATTTCGTTTATACCGAACATTATGCAATTCCCAGGACGACAGTGGCTTGAACCGATTCCATCTAATTCAGTGCATCTGCAAATATTACATGCATGCAATAATATTAATCACCAATATTTGGATGACCACTGGGTTTGTATTTTCTATGATACTATGCTTATACATGTTTTTGATCCATCAAATAATGATCAATTATATTCTTGTACTGAACAATTCTTAAACCAGTTATTTCCATATCTGATAAAAAATGGAAAGATAGATAAGGATAGAGTCATTTTTGAAAAAGTACAAAAGCAGCAAAATGATAACGATTTTGGTGTTTTAGCTCTAGCATTTGCAACATCTATACTGTTGAATAAAAATCCTTTAACTATTCATTATGATAGTACAAATATGTAATAATAGGAAAGTAAGTAAAATAAAGAAGAATATACCATACACAATAAATATTATTAAATAAATATTTATTATTACATTTTTTCAGATTTCATTACATTCAACTATCTGTGCTTGTTTGCGCTTGTATCCAGCGCCTGTTTGCGCTTATTACCATTTGTAATGAACAATGAGACCTATTGTCTGGTAAATTTAAAAGGAGAATATTATTGGAATTGATTTCTAAATATTTGATATTACCACATTTTATGTTCGGACATATTAAAATTTATATTTTGCGCTTACCCATCTTTGTAATATATTTCAAAATTACATACTTACGCATTTCCCGACAGAAGTGAGATTCGATGAAAAACATGCAAATTACGAAGAAATACATTCAAATCGTAATAATTTAAATTTTATCCGATACGAATTAAGTGACCATGACAAAACATTAGTATTAAACGGTTCCAAATTGAAAGATACTCACTTGGATTTATTTCATCATCTGTTGAAATTGCATTCTCAAAGTACATCTTCTTTTATTCAACCAAGGAGTACTTTATACATACAAAACATAATGCGGAATCCAAAAAGACAGTGGTTTCCATATGTCCCTAGACATTTAGTACATATTCAAATTTTACATAGTTGTAATGATTTATGTAAAGAATGCATAGGTGGACACTGGATATGTTCTTACTACGACACTAAGTTTATCCATATTTATGATTCACTGAATACAAATCAGTTGCATCTTTGTCATGAACGATTTTTGAGTCAGCTGTTTCCTTTTTTGACGATAGATGGAAAAATTAATAGAGATAAGCTTATTTTCGAAAGAGTGCAATACCAAAAAAATGATAGAGACTGCGGTATTTTAGCGATAGCATTTGCAACGTCTTTAGTTTTAAATAACAATCCTTCAGAAATTATATATGATTATGGAAAAATGAGATCACATTTATTCAACATTTTTCAAAATTGTAAATTGACACATTTTCCTTTAGCAGAAGCAATTAATGTTTTATGTAAAGATAAATCTCATAGTTTTAGTCCAAATAATTTGGTTGTCAAACAATCAAGTCAAAATAACAAATCTCAATTTAAAAATATAAGTAAATTTTCACCTGCATTTGATACTTCGGCAATTGAAACAAAATATTTAAACGAAGTTAATAAAGTTTTAAAAATAAATGATAATTGGAAATTGGTTGGACTATCCAATCTCGACGGGGTCTCTTGTTATGCAAATGCGTCTATACAAAGTTTATTAAATTGTCCAATAATTAGAAGTTATTTTGTTGATTACAATGTTACTGATAAGTTGTCTGTGATAATATCTCAATATATTCTAAAAAGTAATAATAATAAAGAGCAAGTAGATATAAAGGGATTACGAAGTTTTGTTAATCAAATATATGCAGAACAAAGGCAACAAGATATTCCAGAATTTATGGGCCATCTTATTGCCAAATCAGAGAGATTGCGATTTATAATTGAACATGAAATGCGATCAATTTTAATATGTCCGAACATAAAATGTGGTAATATCAAATATTTAGAAATCAATTCCAATAATATTCTCCTTTTAAATTTACCAGACAATAGGTCTCATTGTTCATTACAAAAGTTGATCGATACAAACATTTAATGTCCAATATCAAGTGATGTGAATTGTTTATCTTGCAAACAATTCAAATACTATGAAACTACTGATTTTCTTACTCATAATGTAATTATAGTGACGCAAATCAATCTTTTTCATTGGAATGGTCGAGAATTTATAAAAAATAATGAGTTTATCCTTGATGATATCAATGAATTCGTTCGTATCAATAATAAGTATTATTCAATTAGTAGTATCATCCTTCATGAAGGGATTATAAGAAGTAGTGGGCATTACTATAATATTATTCGGCAAGGTAAATGTTGGTTTTTAGTTAATGATGCACATATTAAAAATATATCATCAGTGACTTGCATGAAAAATGCTTATGTGGTTTTTTTACAAGAAGTTGAAGAGGACTCACAATGTTTACAAGATATTAAAATGACATTAAAAAGAAAAGTAAATTCAGACTACGTTGATACTATCAGTACACGGCCATCAAAAATTATGAAGTTAACTAGTAATGCAAATATATGTTCCCTTCAAAATGAATTCACACGGTCATCGCGTGATACACAAATAAAACAAAAAAGAGATCGTACAAAGGATAAAAAGGCATATTATTTAAAAAATAAAAATAAAATACTAGCAGATAAAAAAAAATACTATGAAAAAAAGAAGGACAACATATTAACAGTTCAAAAAAAATATTATGCAAATAATAAAGACAAAGTATTGAAAAAACGAAGAAATTATTACAATATAAATCTTCAATCTAGATTGATCAAAATTAAACATCAACGTGCTTTAAATATAAAGCGTAAATATTTTGTCATAAATGTTAAACACAGTACAAGAAAATTATTTTACGAAAAACATAATTGGGTAAAAAAAATTATACCTGTCTTAAATTTACCTTCTGTAACCGAAGCTGAAATCAAAGCCGAGTCTTTAATTTCTCGTGTTATTTCGATTAGAGACAGAATCATATCAGACGCTAAATGTACATTGAAAAAATTAAAAGATAAAGCGACCGTCAGCTTGAGTCGCTCAAGGAATATTAGCATTACCAATGATAATATTAATAATGCAATTGCAGCACTATGCGGTACTTCAATGCACTTTTCGCATTCAGAACCATATTTTTTCGAATCAGTTTATGACTTTGGAAACGGGCTGCTTGTATCTGATTCGAGTAAAATAGATGTTATAATGTTGAACGAAAGTGGACAGTCAATTAATATTATACCTTTACTTGAGGGTACAAAAAATCATAATGTCTGGTTATGTAATAAATACTGTAAAATGCCCGATATTCATACCATAATAGAAATTAAAGAGCTTTTTGAAAAACTGAACGATTTAAATTATGCTGATGCTTATGATTTTCTGAAAAATCTTGACGTCTGCAGCTCTGAATCTCAACATTCAGAGAAACTTGGTCATCCTATTGTTTGTCATATTGGAAGTTTCTTATGTAATTCGACATTTCTTAAACTTCGTACTATAGCTTGTCACTTTCCTTTTTTAAGAACGATAAAAGATATAATTTATGCGTTAAAAAAATGTTATAGAAATATCGAAGAGGTGAATGAAGCTTTAAATAATGGTGATTTGGAGAAATTAGAAGATATGGCATCGAAAGCTTCAATGTCTTTATTTTTTTCATCTACAAAAACCGATGAAGTTACTTTGGATGAGAATGAAATTTTACAGAAATTGGACGGAGGTGTCAAAGTT